ATAAATAAAATTTATAAAAAGAAAAAAAAGAGAAATATTTTTAAAAGAAAATATTTTTCTTAACCAAACACGCGTTAATTGAACCAAAATCCTTTTTTTTTTTTTCTTTTTCTTTTTCTCTGTCGCTTCCAACCAAACAAGCTCCACTAAAATTAGCAAATTCATAGCATTTTTTTTTTTAATGAAAACTACCCACGTAACATACAGGAAAGAAAAACAAAAGGCGTGCATCTTGGCGGCCATGGCAAGGACATGTGAATTGGCTTCTGATTAAGACTACTAATATTAGTTTATTAACAACTGATTGGAGGAATAATTGAGGTTACTTGCACCCACCAAATTCCCACTTCCCTGATAATGCATAATATTTTCCACAATAGAAAAGGCAAAAGATATTGCCAAGTAACCGCCATAAGTGGGCTCTCTCCCTTGATTGTGAGGTATTTCTCTCGTATTGATTGTATATGTTATAATAATATATATGAAATTTCACTTAATTTTTTTTTATAAGGACAACGATTAAAAATTAATATGTTATAAGTGTTAGTGGAGCCTCATAAATGAGCTCTCTCCCTTGATTGTGAGGTATTTGTCTCGTATTGATTGTGTATGTTATAATGATATATATGAAATTTTCTTTTTTTTTTTTTATATAAAGACAACGGCTAGAAATTAGTATGTTAGAGGTATTAATGGGGGATATTAAACTCGAGACATGAAAATGCAAACCACATGCTGCCCTTTCGGGTAGCAAATGGCTATTGGATCACCGTGTGTGGAATGCAAATTTCACTTAATTTCTAATTAATTGATTTTGGAATTGTGTTGTGTCTTGTCTTTATGTCTTTTTATATTATTGAAAGAAAATATTACCAAGTGATGTAATATAAAAGAGGAGGTTCAGGTTTTATAGTACAGATTATATATTAAAGATATAATATATTTTATAAATTTATTTAAATATTTTTAATAAAATAAAGTAAAAAAATAATTTTATTAAAAGCATTTAAATAAA